GGGAAAAATTTAGCTTTGTACCTTTCCCCCCACCCACACAGGTGACAAGCATTTTTAATGGTTTTGTATTTTTCTTAATTTTGTGCTCTGAAATTTTAAAGAACAACAAAAAAAAAGAATTTTTAGTTGGGATTTACAGTTTCACTTCTCAGATCCCATTTGAGCCCCAGAGTTTGTCTTATTTATGGAAAGAAACGGTCTTTCTGTCCAGCGCACTGTGAGGCTCCGCACTCAGGCCCGGCTCTGGCCTCCCTTGGTACTTGGAACCGAAGTTACAGATATATATATATATATATTAAAATAATAATTAATAATAATGTACAAAACTTTGAGTTTTCTGCCTTATTCTATTATGCATAGATGTAAGAGGATCTCTTTGGTTTGTTTTTTAGACAAAAATGTAAATATTCTGTTGATATAATTATAAAACTTATTAAATTCTTAACCTGGACAGTCTATAACAAGTTTCTAGAAACCCCTTTGGTTATTTGTGTACATGGCCACAAAAACCCACTCTGTGGCTGTCAGTTGTGAACACACTCAGCAGAGTAACTGCAGCGACTATCCTTCAACTATGCAAGCCTAGGAGGCAGGACGGGATATTTAGAGGGAGAAGTATCTGGGCTTCCTATCAGGATGGTTGGATCTCCCAGAGAGCCACACTTCCGGGCATCTGCTTAGACTCACTGTGGACTTCAGGATTGACTCTAGTTACAAGGACAAACCTGTGCCCATGTGCTAATCTCAGTGCAGTGTTCTCTGGATCTGTGTAAGCCAGACAGAATCTTAGAAGTTGGTTCCGAGAAAAAGATCAGTTTTCTTCCTCCTACACCCACCATCTGTCTGGGTGTTGCCCTCCCCACCCCCACTCCCAGCACTACCATGTCCCTTTGCCTTTGGATCTGCAGTCATACCCTCTCAAGCTCTTCCCATGTGTTGTCAGCTTGTCCTTTTTTGTTTCTTGACCACCACTCTTGTGCCGAATCAACACTCAGCACCCCTGTCTGCTTTGTTCAGGTCCTCTCTCCTAGCCCTGTGTTTCCACTGTGGACTCCGGTTATTTTCAACAGTCTGTTTTCATGTCAATCAACAGTGGTGATAAATACAGCCTTGATTTGGATGAAATGTGGTCCAGTGTCTTGTGTGGCTCTGAGGCAGGATATCTCACTGTATCCCTCCCTGGGGTATGAGGCTCTGGACAGTGTGGGGCTGGCAGTTCTTGCAGTTCATCACCCCATTTCTTTCCCTTGGGGGCTGTGCTTTTGTGGGTGGCACTCCTGCCACACCACCCCCTTCCTTACCTGCATGCAACTCTACTGACCTTACAGGTTGGCCCAAGTGACAGACACATGAACCCTAACCATTCTGATCACAGCAGCCCATATTACCAGAGTTTGCCAGGTTTTCTGCGTAGAACCCTGAGTTTTCACTTTTTTGTTTGTTTGTTTGTTTGTACAGACAGGGTTTCTCTGTGTAGCTTTGGAGGCTGTCTTGGAACTAGCTATTGTAGACCAGGCTGGTCTTGAACTCACAGAGATCCACCTGCCTCTGCCTCTGCCTCCCACGCATTGGGATTAAAGGTGTGCGCCACCAACGCCCGGCTGAGTTTTCACTTTTTGTGCATGGGGCTTGCAGTTCCTGGGAACGTTACCACATGTGGGTGTCTCTGATTCCGACTGTTTAGCACCACACAGAACCAGGTTAACCCTTTGCCCAGTGAATGAAAACTTAGAATTTTGCCTGGGTCAGAAGTGGCCGGTGGCCTCGTTCCTCATTCGTGCAGGAAAGTGCCACCTGCCCATACAGATGAAGCTCGGGACCTACCTGTACATCTGACTTGGTGTAGCTGTCACAGTGTAGCTGTCAATGTGTCCTCCCTGGGTTTGAAAGTGAAGTCTTAGTCAGGTCACCTTGCTGAGTGGAAGGCCTGGGTGACAGGACACCAGTAACAAACCAAAGTAGGATTCCACCAGAGTGCTTACAGAATAAAGAGTGCCTTAAAGCCGCTGCATCACCAGGAAATCTTAACACCTTGGAGCTGCGAAGATGAACTGCTCCCGTAATTGCTCTTCCTCAGATTTTATACTTTAGCACTTCCTAAACCACTAGGGTCCATGGCCTTATTGCCACCAGGATCTGTGTTGATATCCCTGGCCTGTGTTGCCACCCAGGGCCACTCGGATGTCTGTGGTCTGGGCTGCCACCTGAAGCCATGTTGATATCTGAGGGCCATGCTAGGCTGGCCCGGCCCGTCAATGACCACAGCAAGGGGAAAGCACCAGCGTGGAAAAGCTGAGTGGGAGTTTTGGGGGAGGGGGTAGGCTGACCAACTCAGCTACCACCCAGGCCCAGATCCAGGCCTTTGAGTTGGCCCACCCCAACACCTACTCCATCTATGAGCTGCTGCTGGAGCGTGTGAAGGGTCCGGTCCTCCGGAACCATAGCCTCAGTATCTCCATGACTTTGGGCAATAGCAAGATATCCAAGAGGAATTTTGGTGAGGGTTCAGTATTGACGGTGTAGCAGAAGCCAGAGGTATTGAACCAGACCAATGACTCATTGCAATGAAAACTTGCAAGTAAAGCTGTTTAGGCAAAAGGGTTTACTGAGTGACACACTGCAGCTTCCAGTGCCACTACAGCAAATGAGTATGTGACAGAGAGGCAGGAAAGAAGAGCAGAGCAGAGTGGTGCGTTTGTAGCGGGACACACAACAGCTGTGACGGGTGTGAGAGAAGACTGCAGTTGATAGAGGAGCAGGTTATTGCCCAGAGGGGTCAACAAGATGTTTTTGTTGTTGTTTATTCTAATTTTAATTTTTAATTTTCTTTTGGGGGAGGGTATTGGGCTGGTATGGAAGGACTGGGAAATGAGTGGGATTTACAAAAAGAAAGAAAAAAAGAATACTTTGTCACCCAGGTATGACCACAGGTTCCTTTAATCCTAGCAGAGGAAAAGGACGGTGGATTTCTGTGAAAACATAGCATGTTCCAGGCCAGCCAGGGCTGCACAATGACGCCCTATCTTTTTTTTTTTTTTTTTTAAAGGACTTTGTTTTTACATCTTCTGCCAGAGCCCTGACTAGGGTAGGATTGGGAGTTGCTCACAGGGCCCTATTCAAATGCCACAGGACTGCCAGGGCCTTGCAGTACCACTTCAAGAGGCCACATTATTCACCATTAGGTGTGAGCAACAGGTCAAGGGTGTCCTTTAGCTAGGATCATCTGTGTATCTAAGGGGTTCATGTGGATGACTATGTGATAGCCAAGGGACACATTTCCTCAAGGCCTGAGCAAGGGAAGAATGACTCCAAGCTCATGCAAGGTCCTCATGTGGCCTTACTACACACTGGCACCTCATTAGTGTGGTGTTGGCTCTCCGGCAGGACATTCCTTTCTGGAGTGGAGTGTCACCTATGAAGATGATTGCCTTGGATGGGCAAGATCCATAGTACCTTTTGCTGCTCGTGCATCCCTGTGAAAACCTGGGCCCAGTGAGTATCCTTGCAAGAAGGACACAACACAACTGGTAATGGATGACCTTTGGCAAAAAGTGCATCATTAGGTCACTGGAATTAGGAATTTTACAACAGAACTCTAATTCAAGGCAAGTCTGGACATGCCCAGTCAGCCTCAGGAGAAACAGGGAAACAGAACTGGCCCATGTTAGACTCCATAGCTGCCCATGCCATGTGTGACTCTCAGCTCTCACTGACCTTCCTGCAGCTGGCCTCCAGCTAACAGCCTCCTCAGCAGCTACCTGACAGCAACTTTTGTAAAGACAAAGGTAGGGCTGGGCTAAGACAAGATGAAATGTCACTGGAAGGGGACAGCCCTCATCTTGGATCCAGTGGGCAGCAGCAAAGACAAGAGACCTCCTAAAGAAACTGCAGTCTAGCTGGGCATTGGTGGCGCACGCCTTTAATCCCAGCACTCAGGAGGCAGAGATAGGTGGATCTCTGTGAGTTCAAGACCAGCCTGGTCTACAAGAGCTAGTTCCAGGACAGCCTCCAAAGCCACAGAGAAACCCTGTCCCGAAAAACCAAAAGAAAGAAAGAAACTGCAGTCAGTCTGTTTGAAGCAACTGATGCTGGAGCAGAAGACTGCTCTCTTAGAAGTGGAGGCGTGAACTTTATCAGTACTCCAGCGGCTGCAACCGCATGAAATCACCCCCAAACAACATCCATTTCACTCCTAGACACTGTGTGTGAAGATTGGAAGCCCCCCAATCTGTGGCCCAGCTATAAAACTCCCCAAGTCAAATGTGCCTCTGCAGTGGACTGGGGCTACCAGATGCTATCAAAGCCCTGAGTAACTTCCCAGGTTGCCTTTCCAAAACTCTTGCCTCAAGTGTCTTGCCGCACTGTATCTGACACACTCGCAAGCTCTTTGTCATTGTCTGTGTGATTCACTGCTGCCTGGGGTCTTTCCTCACTCATGTAGTCAATAAGTAGATTTTTCATCCTCAGCTCCACCATCACAGTAGACTCTAAACTTCCAGCAAGAGGGGCTCTTGATTGCCTCCAAGACCAAGTCCTCTTCCTGCAGCAGCCTCACCAGCCTTGCCTTCTTATGGTCTGACAGCTTGGGCTCTTGTGATAACCCCATAAGCCAATGGCCCTGCTAAGCTGTGGTCTGTGATGCTAATTGTAGACTTCAGTCTTCTCTGACATGAATAAAACATGTGCCGAGCAACAGCCACCCCCGTTTTCTACCACCACCACCATATTAAAGCCATAAAGCACTTCTGAGGTTCAATTGACCTGGGCAGGCTCTCTAGGGGACCAGCATCACCCAGCCTGCGGCATCTTGAAAAAACCCAAGGGTTCTTCCATAAATCAAGCTTCTGTCTCAACCCTAGGAATCACCTCCCCAGCCAACCTTCACCCTGATCTCTGACTCCAGAGATCCAATGCCTGTGGCGACGCTGTCTTCAGAGGCTTCCAGCCTCGGGTTCCACAGAGCTGAGATTCACCTCCTTCCTTGTGTTTGCTTTACAATCCACTTGGCTCAAGCTGAAGTTATTCAGCAGGAAAAACAAGTGTTACAGAGCAGAGTGGGCACCAGGGGAGTCTGCTCCACCACTGCCTGTTTTTTTGTTTTTGTTTTTGTTTCCTGAATCAGGTGTTTTCCTGCCTGCCAGGGTGTTTCGGCTCTGCCAAGGCCACAACACCATCTGGTGGCTGTCTTTAAAACAGTAAGGTTGAAATTGGTTAACATTCACTAGAGGTAATTTTTTCCCCTTTCTTCCTTCCCTCTCTCCTCTCTTTCTTTCTTTCTTTCTTTCCCCCTCCCTTTCTTTCTTCCCTCTCTCCCTCCTATTTCTTTTTTTTCCCTTCCTTCCCTCCCTCTCTCTCTTTCCTGTTTTTCGAGATAGGGTTTCTCTGTGTAGCTTTGGAGAGCTTGTCCTGGAACTCTCCCTATAGACCAGGCTGGTCTTAAACTCACAGAGATCCGCTTCCCGGATGCTGGGATTAAAGGCGTGTGCTACCACTGCCCCGCTCACTGCCTGTTTTTTGTTTGTTTGTTTTGGTTTTGTTTTGAGACAGGGTTTCTCTGTAGCTTTAGAGACTGTCCTGGAACAGGCCTCGAACTCACAGAGATCCGCCTGCCTCTGCCTCCCGAGTGCTGGGACTAAAGGCATGCGCCACCACCACCCCCACCACTCCCTGTTTTACTTTTTCTGAATCAGGAGCTTTCCTGCCTGCCAAGGTGTTTCTGCTCTGCCTAGGCCACAGCACCATCTAGTGGCTGTCTTTGGAACAGCACTGCCAGGCACTAGAGGCAATTTCTAAAGAAAACATCGAAGCTTGTGGCTCAGGACTCCTTCTTGCTTTACTCCTGTGTCTTCTTCACTCTCAGGTCATGCTTTTCATTATGTATTCCTGTGACCTTGATTTAAAACAAAACAAAACAAACAAATAAACAAAAAAAAACAAAAACATAGAAACTAGGCCTGGCAGTGGTGGTGCATGCCTTTAGTTTCAGCACCTAGGAAGCAGTGGCGGGAGGATTTCTATGAATTTGAAGCCAGCCTGATCTACAGAGTGAGCTCCAGGACAGCCAGGGCTGTTACACAGAGAAACCCTGTCTCGAAAAACCAAAACCAATCAAACAAGCAAACAAA